GTGAGATTATTTGCGAAAAAAGCACTATAGTCCCGAAAATGACCGCTGTTCAGAGCAGGAACCCCTGGCCACAAGAGTAGCAGGACATCGCATACTCCGTTCTGTTTCAAAAGTTTGGGATTATCAGACAAGGAGTGGAGGGGTAAAAAGTTACCCCTCGGCTGAGGAGACCACCGGAGTGGTGGCAGATTGCAACGCATGCAGCTTTCCTTCTCGGGATGCGAGAGAGAGGGAGAATAAAAGACCACAAATGCCAGTGACATAGAAGAAGAATTCAATAGGATTTCATATCGAACATCTGCAGAAATTGCTTTGAATGCAGAAAGGGAGTGATAGTTCTTTTAATTTGAGGATAATTATGCAGAGTCCCTGGGTAGCTCATTCCATCTAGCTTTTTTATATGTATTTGGTTTGTTGATTATCCGAACATCACATGTATTCATAACACGAGATAGGCGTTAATCAGTGCACGGGATGTAACGTTGTTGTTGTCAGAACAGCCGTACCCGAAGCCTTAGCTAGTGCTGACCTGAGTAAGCGTCACATAGTAACACAAAGCAGGCAACCGGCTAGTGATATTAAGGGAGGGAGGGAGCGAGTCCGGGCAAAGCCGGCTATGCCTGGCTGTCGTCAATGGAGAATCGACGCCTCGGAAGACTAAGTCAAAAACTTGGCACTAAATTAAGCCAGAGTAACTCATACGCCATAGATCGAGGAACGTCGATACCCCGGAAATTCAGCTTTCAACCTAGCGCTGATTTTAGCGCATGTGAAAACATAGGTCACTCTGGTTATCCCATTTGGCCCTAGGTATGCATGTCAACTAAGTAGGTAAGGCTTCTTCGCAGTTCATCTAGCATGCAGCTCACTGTATGCGTGTTCGTGTTTGGGCGTGGTGGGGCATATAAGCGCATCCTCGGCCGCGCCAGCCACCTGCGCCCTCCCCTAGCTCCGGTCTTCTTGACTTTTGTCTTGACACTGCGTACAGGTGGGTGGATAAGACAGATTCTGTGCGAGTCTATTCGCGCATTACAATTCACCGTGTCTGCCTTAAGTTTGCTGAAGCTCGTGGCGGACATAGTCAAAATCGACGATCGAACTGTCGATTATCCAATATCTAGGGCAATGAACCAGTTGGTTTCCAGAAAAATACAAATAATAATTATTATTATAGTCAAAGGTTTTGTATCTTATTTAGGGATACCTGGCATACATTCGTGGATTGCCTATCAACGATCTGCCAGAGGTCTTCGGTCTGCATGATAATGCCAACATCACGTTTGCGCAGAATGAGACCTTCGCGCTGTTGGGAGATCTGCTGAAATTGCAGCCCAAGACATCTTCAGCTGCAGCTGGTAGCCTGTCCAGAGAAGAGATCATTGAGGGTGTTGCTAATGACCTTCTCCAGAAGTGTCCTGCACCCTTCAATATTCAGGAAGTCTCGAAGCAATACCCCGTCCTCTACGAGCAGTCCATGAACACGGTTCTCATACAGGAAGCCATACGGTGAGTGCACAATTTTGATGGGGTCGTCCAGGCCTTAGCACGAACAGCCACGGCAGTTCCAAAAGTGTATTTTCTTTGGAGGCTTACCAACGGTCATTTAGGTGTTCCGACCAGGTTTTCTTCTCGACTGCCCTATCTGACCGTCTGCTTAGCAGGTCGTCCAGAAATGGGATGGATTTTTATCTATTTTAAGAATGGACATTGCGTTTGCATAAACTAACAACTGAACTACTCAAGTAGGGTCGATTTGGTTAGTTTCGATTCAAAATACCTGGTATGCATACGTGAAAAGTCAGGTTGGAAAACCGATGTTTTCAGTAATTTAGTATCGAAAAGTTTATATTACACAAGAGAATGAACTCGTAAGCTATTTACAGGGTTTATATGTACCTCGGTGGGATTGGTTAGCCATATGCTTTGTCCCCACGCTGTCTGCATGACGGGGTCGACGTGCCGAGGGCGTTGGAACTGGAAGCGGAGAGGGGGGGTAAAGGGGGTGTTCGTGGTATGCTGTGAGTGATGCCCTTCCGTCAAACAAGCGGAGTGCGTTTGACTGCTATGGGAGGGGTTTGGGCGGCATCTGATTATCACCTGTGCCCCCTAAACGTGCAGTGTGATAGATGCGCTAAATTAACATGGAAACCCACATCAGGGTACGGCAGGCGTTTTTTGGGTCGCGCGCCGATAAAAAAAATGCTGAACATAGCGGGGG